CATTTCCCAGGCTCTGTATGACCCCCATCTATGGGTTTATTGCTCCCCCATGAACGTAATAATAGTAATAGCTTCGTTTGCAGTATGTGGGTTAACTGTGATGAGACGTTGTGGGGTTGCGTGTTAGCGTGAGAGAATATTGAGTGGGCGGTAGCTTGACCCAAATACTACTGCCACAGGCTCGGCATTGTCCCCTCTTGCGGACAGACACAAGTGTCCCGGACAAACATTTATTCGGACAACGTTTCGCTCTAAAGTAGATCGAAACATTCGCTCTAAAGCATAGGGAAACGTTTCCCCAAAAAATAAACGCTCAGTCCGCGTGCTTGTGTTCGTTCACTTATTTGTTGGCGTTACGGCCATCTAACCACACAGTCGCTCCCCTTTAGGATGCTTCAGAGCAACGAAGCCTCTACTGCGGTGCTCACAGAAATTTTGTTCTTGACAGCTTGTTTGTTTGTTACTGATGTTGTTTTTGTTGCTATATTACATAAACTCTCAACACGTAACGATCACACAACGCCTGGGAAACAGGAAGTTCATTATCATGAATGAAAGGGGAGGGCAGCCATCTATGCGTCAAATCAAGAGCCTTTACCCAGAAACATCAAGGTGCCTTATCGACGGGCTGACAGAACATAACACCACCGTTGGAAAGTGTCCTTTCAGGACAACAGTTTGCAATGCAGATTTTTTTTTTAAATAGACAGATGTGACAACAACAAAAGCTACTGTCTATGAATATCTAGTGCTCGTACTTGATTCTTCTGACCAGCGGTCGAGTCAAGCAGTCTGGGTTACTGATTAGCAGTCAGGTAAGACAGTTTGGGTTAACAGAGATGGGAAGACAGTGAATCCTTGAGGCATTTTACGGTTTTGGACATACAGATATACCACTCAACTAGGTCGTTGTAGATACACTACTGACAGTATCGTAGTGACCACACAAACCTGGCCGTCGTACATACACTACTCACAGTGTCGTAGTGACCACACAGACCTGGTCCTCGTACATACACTACTGACAGTGTTTTAGTGACCATGTAAACCAGGTTATTGTAGGTACACTACGGTCATGGTCGTAGTGACCACACCAACCGGGTCGCTAAGACCGTACCACACATGGTTTTCTGCAAATCTGCCCTTCTGCCTTCATACTGAAAAAGGTATCTTGATCAGTGGAAACAAAGATACCTTCCCCTTCCTTGAAATCAACTTCCTATTCCCCAGGATCCGCTTCGGGTTTAGCATTTCCATATGAACTTAAACTGTTGAAATGAAAATATAAAACAAGGTTTACATAGGGTTTAAATGCAATTTTATAATGTACAAGAAACTTGTAAACATAGGTGCCGTAATTAATTTCGCTTCATTTCCGTACGATATACCTGACACCTCCAGAATGATCAATTTGCCTTTCTACGGATACGAGATACAGACAGATATCACAGCTATCCCTCACTTAAGAGCAAAATTTATGGTGACTTGACAGTTGTCCAGGAAGGACCGAAGTGTCATTTCAGCCACGGTATTGTGACTTATATTCTTCCTTAGAGAATTACTATGCTGTAATAGTCACCATGTGTAAAGTCAGACTGCAATACTCATTGATGACAGGGAACCATCGTGCGTGATGGACCTGTTGCAAAAACATAATTGTTCTAACCTTGTACAAAGCTGTGAAGGTTTGGGAAGCTGCACACTGCGGATGTATTTCAAGTTGAGTATTATGATGTTATATTCTGGGGAAAGCGTTGAACCCATGGGGATCATACATGGCCTAGGGAATAGGATATGAGGTTTGATACAAGAGAAAAACTCTCTTGATCCAAGGAATTGAATCTATTCCCTATTTCTTTGGATCATATCTGATTACTTTCCGTTTCTCCAGGCTCTGTATAATCCCTACGGATTTAGCGCTTCAACAATCCCCCCTCCCCTTATGAAGATAGTAATAAGGGAAAGGGATCACTATTTCTTTTTTTAATTAAGAACACTTCACCAGCATCCCCTTTAAGTGATAGTCATCAAAATAGTATAATACTCACTATACGTAAAGTCATGGGAGACGTCTGAGCCCCACATAAAGCCTGCTCCTCTAGCGTTGTCCCTCCAGCCTACCCTCCAGCCGGAGTCGTCAGGATCAGACCACAGCAGATCGCTCATGGGACCCTCATGTGGCAGCTCCTGGAATCTGTCCAAGACACGGATCTGGTCAATGGACTCGAGGGAAGGCGAGAGGCCGCCGTGCATGCACAGGATCACGTCGTCTATGAGGGCGGTGAGAGGCAAGCAGTCAAAGACTGACATGAAGCATTTCCAGGCATCGCAGCTCTGATAGGTGGCGTAGCACTCGTCGTAGAAACCGTAGACCTGCGTGGTGAGGCGACACTCGTGGTTACCTCGAAGAAGAGTCACTCGCTGGGGGTAGCGCAGCTGTAACCAGGGAAGGTCAAGCTTTTAGCAACGGTTAACGTTATTAGTGGACCTGGCGTAGTGATACCGGCAAGTTGTAGGTAGAATATCAGTGGTGTAAAATGCCGACAAGATAACAATTTAGATTTACAGTATGTATTAATAAATTGATGATTAAGACACGTGCAAAAGTTGTTTATCTTTATTACTGAGACGTTTGAACAATAAAGATACCCAACTGTTGCACATGTGTCGTCAACTTGTCGGAATTTTATACAATTTTCAACATGTATTAATAAAGCCACTGGTTGGCGAAACGTTTACATAGTAAAGATATCCAGATGTTTCACACCACACGTGTCTCATTTATCATGAACTTGTAGGAAAGACACGTGTGCACTGATCAACACGTGCATTAGAAAAGTGTCTTGATCAAACGTGACTTTTAATAATAATTACGTTATTATTGAAGGAAAAGCAGAGATGCGAATTATATGCCTAAAATAAAAGCTTTTCCTGCGCCTGTCTTTTCTTCGTTTTTATTAAGCCCACAAAGAATGCTAAATCTGTATTATCAGTTATTATTACTAGAAGTAATAGTAGCAGAAGTAAACACACCATCATTCAGACAGTACTGGACAGTGCCATTCAGCCTGTCAGTGACCATCTCACAAATCTGATTGGCACTAGAGCCCGATGGAGATGAAACAATGATAAAGGCTATTTAACCCGAATTGTGAAAGTGGGATACACACTAATAGTAAGAAGATAGGTATCCCTGGCCGCGACACCTGAGCCAGGTATCCTCGCCCTCCGTTAACCACTGTTATGTACCAAGAGGTGTGCAACTCGTTTATATTTTAAGAAACATTACATCCTCGTGATAGTAGCCACAGAGAAAACCAAACAAAAACTATAAACAAGCGAATTAAACAAACTGAACACACCAAGCGTTTTTGTAGCCGGGCTGCGGGTGTCATCACCCCCGATAAACCCTGTAAACCACAATGATAAACCCATTTAGATGTGAAATTGGGATGCCCTGAAGGTTCTGCATAAGCAGCGGCTTTCCAATAAGCTTGTAGTCCATTTGGGAAAAGGTTTGGCAATAGAGTTGTAGATGAGTGGTGCAAATTGCGCCAATGAGACAAGAACTTCGCGTAGATATTAATATAGGTTGCACGGGTATATTAATGGGTGAGGGTGGGTGTGAACTGAACCTGCCCAGCATGAGTTAATAGACCTATCTTCTGCAGCGTCTTGCCATATCATTTTGTAACCAGTCAAGCTATTTTTATGGATATAAACATCATTTCGATCTTACCTTCATAGCCAGCAGCAGGGACACCACCTGTACAGAGTAGTAACCCCTGTCCACGTAGTCGCCCATGAAGAGGTAGTTGGTCTCTGGAGGTTCTCCCACGATGGTAAAGAGTTCCATCAGGTCGTAGAACTGGCCATGGAGGTCGCCACAGACTGTTACTGGGGAGGAGACCTCCACCACGTTGCTCTCCTCCGTCAGCACCTCCTTCACCTGATGATATGAATAAATAGTTTAGAAAACTGACAAGTTGATGAGACACTTGTGCAACATTTTGGTTATCTTTATCCTGGAAACGTTTCGCCAACCAGTGACTTCTTCAGTCCAAGGCGGCGAAAGGCGGAAGATGAGGAAGAGTTCACCTGAACAAGCAGGAAACGATCCTTGAAGTGAAGTAACGCGACTGAATTTCAGGCTTATCAGGTTTAAATCCTGTCAACTGGTTGATGAATTAAGACACTTGGCAGATCGCCAACCATACAGCTACCTTAGTGTTGCACGAGTGTCTAATTCATCAACCTGCCGATTCTCTGAACCATTTATCTACATTACTGTCGACTGCACGAGGGTCATGAAGGCTGATAATGATGACTGAAACCCAAACACGGGACACTGAAGTTAAATTTTCACTCTACATAAATATCCCTGTGTTAATAGTGATATACTTCCTTTTCGGTGTATACACACAGATACCCCCTCTCGGTATATATACACAGGAATATACCTGTATTACTGTTGGTAGAATTACCGACAGTATGTTGGGTAAAAGGCCGTAACTGCTCCTGGAGAGCGAAACGTTGCAACAATGAAAGTCATATTAGTTACACTTGTGTCCTTTTACCAAGAAATATAAATTATAATCTACTTGTTTATCAAATTCAACAGATACCACAATATCATGTTTATTTTAACTCTTAAAACCGGGAGTATAGTAAATTTTGTGTATATGCACAAGGTATATACCTCTCGGTGTATATAACCTTGTCATATAAATAAAAAGATTGGTATGCCTTACAGGCTTTGTATACATTTACTTAAACCAGTCTATGTATATACATACAGTGGTTTATATCTATGTATACACATACAGTGGTTTACATAAGTTACCCAGAGCGGTGTATATATCAGTGTGTATACACGCAGAGGTTTCAATGTGTATATTTCAGTCATATCTCAGTCTATACACTCAATGGTATACATTTTTCAATGTATACATGGGGTGGTATACATTTCTCGATGTATACACCCCTTTCATAAACCAGTGGGTAACCACATAGGCGTATCTCCGCTGTATGACTATAATAATAATGTATATAATACAAATTTAAAAAAATACGAATCCTGGTATGCAAATTTCAGAAATATTTTAACCATAAAATTATTACTATATGATTAAAAAATCTTGTAACTAAAAATATTTCCTTAGGAAATTGGTAAATTGTTTAGGAAAACAAAATTAGGTAAATCACGAAGGAAAATACGTATAAATTCCCGGGAAAATATACGTCAATTATAAGCAAGTGTATTTCTGTGTATATACTCAGGAGGGTTACCTGTGTATATACACCGAGAAGAGTATCCGTGTATATACAGTGTATATACACGGATACTCTTCTCTGTGTATATTATACACAGACGTAAAATAAAAATTACTAAGAAAATGTCAATTATAAACAGGCGTATTTCTCTGTGTATATACACAAGAGGGATGTCTATGTATATACACCGATAAGGTTATCAGTACACACTGTATACACAGTGAGCGGGGGGAGGGAGGACTACAAATGCCCAGGAAAATATAAGCCAGTTATAAGCCTGCACGACGGGGAGACGTAGACTCAGGCAAACTGGTAAACCACCTTAAAAAAAAAGAGAAAATGAAACGAAAGTGATAGAAAATCCATATTTATCGAGGACAAGTGTTGCAAGACGGGAGACCGAACTGAAGCTTGTAACATGACCGAACTGAAGCTTGTAACATGGCCGAACTGAAGCTTGTAACATGACCGAATTGAAGCTTGTAGCTCTGAGCATACGTACACTGAGACATAAACCTCTCAGTGAACATACATCCTGAGCCCAGCAGGAGTCAGGGAATTCTTCACCAATTAGGATTTTTTTTAAATTTTATTTGCAGTGTGTGTACTCATCTATTTACTCACCTATTTGTGGTTGCAGGGGTCGAGACTCAGCTCCTGGCCCCACTTCTTCACTGACAGCTACTGGGTCCTCTCTCTCCCTGCTCCAGGAGCTTTATCATACCTCGTCTTAAGACTATGTATGGTTCCTGCCTCCACTACGTCACTTGCCAGACTATTTCACTTCCTGACAACTCTATGACTGAAGAAATACTTCCTAACATCCCTTTGACTCATCTAAGTCTTCAACTTCTAATTGTGACCCCCTGTTTCTGTGCCCCATGTGTGTGTGTGTGTGTGTGTGTGTGTGTGTGTGTGTGTGTGTGTGTGTAAATAAAAGAACTGCTATTATATTGTGTAGAAACACGAATATTAAATAATTTTTAACTCAGTATTGCTCTCTCTCTCTCTTCTAAGAGGAAAATTTAGGAAAATCTTAATATTCTTATTAAGAGCTATGTTAAGACTGTTTCCTGAGAGTTTCTGAAGGTGTGTCCTTACGAGACAGCGTCACTTCACAGTGTTTCCTGACGACAGCGTCACCTCACAGTGTTTCCTGACGACAGTGTTGCCTGACAGTATTTTCTCACAGTGAGTTATTCGTCAGGAAACACTGTTTCCTGACAAATAATTCCTCCTTCTTTGGTTACTAGTATACACTGACAAGTGTATAACTATCCCTGTTTAGATAACCTTAAATTTTGCTTTATTCGCTATTTTAGGGACGAAAGCATTGTTAGCCCTTCAGAAGAAGTGCCTTGATGCCGGATAGGGGTTCTTGATCCAAGGAACTGGACCTATCCTACCTTTCCTTAACCCGAACTTTGATTGCCTCCCATTTCCCCAGGCTCCGAATAACCCCTACAGATTTAGCGCTCCCCCCACATGAATGCCATAACAGAAGCAATCTTGGTGTTAGTGTATTGGTGAAATCTAAATGACCCATTAGTAGCCAATAACCTTAAACCTAACAAACTAACTGTTGGGAGATGCAAGAAGCACACACACACACACATACAAGGTGGATAGGGACAGAATGTTTCAGAGATGGAATATAGCAACAAGGGGTCACAACTGGATGTTGAAAACTCAGTCAGAGAATTGTCAGAAAGTGGAACAATATAGAGAGTGATATAGTGGAACAATATAGAGAGTGATATAGTGGAGGCAGGATCCTTACATAACTTCAAGAAGAGATACGATAAAGCTAATGGAGCAGGGAGGGAGTGGACCTAGTACCGACCAGCGAAGAAGCGGAACCAGGAGCTGTGAATCGACCTCTACAACCACAAATAGGTGAGTACACACACTCACTCGAGAGGATACAGTGGAGGCCATCTCTACTCCATCCATAAATTGTGGAAAAAAAAAAGTTTAATAATTAGGAAACGGAATTCTGGATACAGAACTGGTTTAAGGTGAACACTAGTATGTGAGGTTACCTTAATACTACATATATTTTCATTACCTGCCGTTTTAAATTTCTATTTGCATTTAAAAAAGTATGTGATTATTAGAGCCACACGTCAGGGTATGTACACCGAGGTGTATACCTGGAATATACCTGGAGAGGGTTTCGGGTATCAACGCCCCAGCAGCCCGGTCTGAGACTAGGATTCGTGTATACATAACTTTAATACCTGTTTTCGACATTAAATTATCCTTGACTGGTTGTGTATAAGTAACATGTAACCTAACCCTCGTGTTATCGATAGGATTTAAACCAAACTAACCAACCTTAGGCATACAGTGGTGTAAGTTTTGTAGGCACAGGTACACATAAGTACAATTATCATACATAGTGTTAAATACCTAGGATAACCCAAAAAGTCAAAGTGACTTGCCACACTAAAATAATGTAAGGGACCTGGGAGTAGTAATGTCTGAGGATCTCACTTTCAAGGATCACAACAGTGCCACGATCGCACGTGCAAAGAAAATGATAGGATGGATAATGAGAACTTTCAAAACGAGAGATGCCAAGCCCATGATGATCCTTTTCAAATCACTTGTTCTCTCTAGGCTGAAATACTGCTGTACATTAACATCTCCATACAAAGCAGGTGAAATCGCAGATCTAGAGAGTGTACAGATATCCTTTACTGCACGTATAAGTTCTGTCAAGCACCTTAACTACTGGGAACGCTTGGAAGCACTTGATTTGTACTCGTTGGAACGCAGGAGGGAGAGATATATCATAATCTACACTTGGAAAATCTTGGAAGGAATGGTCCCAAATCTGCACACAGAAATCACTCCCTACGAAAGTAAAAGACTGGGCAGGCGATGCAAAATGCCGCCAATAAAAAGTAGGGGCGCCATTGGTACACTAAGAGAAAACACCATAAGTGTCCGGGGCCCAAAACTGTTCAACAGCCTCCCATCAAGCATTAGGGGAATTGCCAATAAACCCCTGGCTGCCTTCAAGAGAGAGCTGGACAGATACCTAAAGTCAGTGCCGGATCAGCCGGACTGTGGCTCGTACGTTGGACTGCGTGCGGCCAGCAGTAACAGCCTAGTTGATCAGGCCCTGATCCATCGGGAGGCCTGGTCATGGACCGGGCCGCGGGGGCGTTGATCCCCGGAATAACCTCCAGGTAACCTCCAGGTAACACTAACCAATAATAAGCATTCAGTAGTGATAAATGACGACTTTACGCAGGTTAATCCAAGAAAGATAAATAGTATGACAGTCATAAAGGAATAAATAATAAGAGAGTTTAAAGAGAACTAAGGTAGAATGACGAGCTCTGTACCACAAAAAAAAAAAAAACACGCAAGTTAATCAACCTCCGCGCGCATGAGGGACACAACACCGAGCTGTGTTACAACATACCTTGGAACACAAGTTTTCTAGCTGTTGGTATTCCAGGGCCTGTTTCTTCTTCAGCTGTGAGATCCATACGTCGACATCACTGCTGGGGCAGGGGCAACACATTCCTGGGTACTGCTGCACTGCTGCCATGCTCACTCTCACTGCTGATCGATGTGAGGTTCAACTCCTCGGGGGAGATCTTCAGAAGATAGTTATTCTTAAAAGTCTCCTCGCCACTTAATACAAATTACTAGAATATATATATAGATCTGGACTAAGATAAATGCCTCTAAATACCACTAGAATATTTCTTGAAGACAATTTAAAGCAATAAACGATATTTTTTTAAGCGCGTTCTTCCGACCCAGATATCCTTGGTGATATTTAATATGTGTAATTAATTTTTTCCAGCTGTTCTTGAGTCAGGTTTCAACTGTTATGGCACACGGATGACTATTGATAACTTCACTTGTGGGGACAATTCTGACCAATCTCTAGGCACTTTATGCATATATATTAATTCTTCCAAACTGTATTTCCGGCTTTTAAATAAAATAAGCTGTGGCTTCACAATTGTTTTCTTGTGATTACAGTAGTGGAATAACCTCTCTGCTTCCGTAGGTTAGATCCTTCCTGTCAACAATATTCAGTAGGTGTAACTATACACTCTCTGAGTCACTAAACCTCTTTTAGGAGAACATCCGCTCGTCCTCGAGGTTTTCGCCACTGCTGCTGCTGTTATTGTACCTGGGTAGAACCAGACGTCGAGCTGAACAACACCTGTGTAACTTCACCTTTGCAGCTTCCACCCACCTGCCGCTCTCTGATATCCTTATCGAGGGTGTAAGCATAAAACATCACGTAACCACTCGCTATCTGGAATCTTTTATCTGCTTTCCTCTGTGATAACTCGCTCTATACACCTCTAGGGCAAACAACACCACTGAATGATCGAGGACACTTTACTTATTTAATACGGACGAACGCTACTCCATAAAACACTTCCGCGGAACACTTTTTCTTAATAAAAATTCACTTGAGAATGGCACTTGCTCACTCGGCGATGTATCCTGGGAGAATGAGCTGACGGCAGGGGAGGCACTGTTATATGTGCCGGGGAGGACAACACGGTGAGTGGGAAGGGGTTGGGGAGGGAACTGGGGAAGAGGGAGATTCTCGGTGGTGGGGAGGATAGAGAGCATGACAGTGAGTGGGGAGAGGTTTGGGAGACATTGGGGAGATGAATGCCCGAGGTGAGGAGGATGGGGAACCACGGGTTCGTCAGGGTACGATAAGGAGGGATAGGGTGAGTGACAAGATAGAGAAGGGAATGATAGATTTACGGTGTTGCTGGGAGGGGTGGTGGTGCTGGGAGAGGTGGTGGTGCAAGGAGGGTTTATGGTGCTGGGAGGAGTTATGGTGCTGGGAGGGGTGGTGGTTCTGGGTGGGGTGGTGTTGCTGGGTTGGGTGGTGGTACTGGATGGGGTTTTGGTGCTGGGTGGAGTGGTGGTGCTAGGAGGGGTGGTGATCCTGGGAGGGGTGGTGGTGCTGCCAGAGGTAGAGCGGGGTCTTGCATCACCACCTGAGTCATGCGCTTGTCAATTGTAGCTACCGTTTATAACAATGCTGTAACAGAGGTGGGCCCAGAAACAGGGGTCCAGGTAGGCCATGACCCCGGGCCATTCTCACAGACCTTTTTCTTGAAGAAAAGATACATAATTGTAACATAGTAGTAACATAAAGAAGATAGCCTTAGAGCAATTTTTATATATAGAATAGAGACGGACCAGGAACTTGAAAAACATATTAATAATGTCCCATCCAGTGTTGTTGGGCCCAACAACAGATACAGGAAATGTTTCTCCGCTTTATTTAGTTTTGCCATTTTTTTCGTGAGTTTAATTTATTTATTTATTTATTTTTTATTTATTTATTTCCAATTTGTGCACACATACAGAGGTACAAAAAAAATACAGATAAGAGCAGTATGCCAAAGCCACTTATACTATGCATAGCATTACGGGCTGGCTTAAAATTAACTTAAGATTAACTAAGCAATGATTATTATTATTATTATAATCAAAAAGAAGCGCTAAGCCACAAGGACTATACAGCGCTGCTACTAAGCAATGGTGAAATCAGTGATAAAACATTAATGTAAACAGATAACTATAAAGCACAAGTGAGTATTACAAAGACAGGTCATATGGTTGCATTCAGTTAGGTAGTGATTCTGTTAGGTAGTGTATTTAAAAAATAATAAAGTTAGATTGGGTTTTAGGTTTAACATTTATGTGATATAATTGTGAGAAACATTTAAGATATACAATTTATAATGTTCAGTTATTCAGTATTTATTTGGTTTTGGGTGAGTAAGTAATCTTTGAGAAGAGACTTGAATTTATAAACAGGTTGTGTTTCTTTTATATTTACAGGTAATGAATTCCAGATTTTAGGGCCTTTTATGTGCATTGAGTTTTTGCATAGTGTGAGATGGACACGAGGAACATCAAAGAGTGATCTGTGCCTTGTGTTATGGTCATGTGTTCTGTTGAGGTTGGCAAGGAGATGTTTGAGGGGAGGGTTAATATCAGAGTTAAGTGTTCTATGTATGTAATAGGTGCAGTAATAAGTATGGATGTTTTGTATGGTGAGTAGGTTTAGTGTATTGAATATTGGTGGAGTGTGCTGCCTGTAGTGAGAATTTGCTATCATTCTAACTGCAGCCTTTTGTTGGGTAATTAGTGGTCTGAGATGGTTAATTGTTGTTGAGCCCATGCACAAATTCCATAGGTGAGATAGGGGTAAATAAGAGAGTGATATAGGGCCAGGAGGGCTGACTGTGGAACATAGTACCGTATCTTCGATAGTATGCCTACAGTCTTGGAAATTTTCTTAGAAATTTGATGTATATGTGTATGAAATTTGAGTCTATTATCAAGGTGGATTCCTAAGAATTTTCCCTCTGTTAGTTTTGTGATAGGTGATCCATTTATCATTATGTTAAGAGGGACATCTGTAGCTCTGTTACCAAACTGAATGAAGTAGGTTTTGTCAATGTTTAGTGTAAGTTTGTTAGTCCTCATCCAGGTAGATATTTTCTGTAATTCGGTATTTACAGTATTGGCTAGCGTGACTGGGCTCGGGTGAGAGAAGACGTATGTAGTGTCATCTGCAAATAGTGTGGGTTTGAGTAATTGCGAAGCATTTGGAAGGTCATTTATGTATAGGAGAAAGAGAAGAGGGCCAAGGACACTTCCCTGTGGGACACCAACTGTAATTGGTTGTGCAGAAGAGTTTGCCCCATTTGCGTACACATATTGGCTTCTGTTGCTGAGGTAAGACTTGAGGTAGTTGAGGGAGTGCCCTCTTATACCATAGTGTGACAATTTTACGTGGAGCAAGTCATGGTCAACTGTATCAAAAGCTTTACGTAAGTCAATGAAGATCCCCAGTGGGACTTCTTTTTTCTCTATTGCAGTGTATATATGTTCTAGCATGTGTATAATAGCATCATTAGTATTTTTATTAGGCCTGAATCCAAATTGGCAGGGGTTGAGTATGTTTTGGGAGATAAGGTAGGAGTAGATTCGTTTATGAATTAATTTTTCGAAGATTTTTGAGAGAGGGTGTAAGTTGGATATTGGCCTATAGTTATTCAACTCTGTTTGGTCTCCTCCTTTGTGGATCGGGGTGACCCTTGCTATTTTGAGTACTGTAGGGAAGGTGGAGGATTCAATGGATTTGTTAAAGAGTGTTGCAATGATTGGTGATAGCACTTGTGACACTTTTTTGATTAGTCTTTTGGGTTTTATGTACATGAAGGCGATTGAATGAATAATGGGAAATGTGTTGTCGTCTTTGAGTCGCACTTAGTAGGAGACGGTCGTTGAGTTAATAATAAAAAAAAGCTTATATGGGGAGAATTCAGATGAGACAGCACTGGCGGCGCCAAGGGAGAGATCTAAGGGTCTTCAACCCCCCAAAATTCCCTCAGCCCCAAAATAAAATTAGTAATAATAACGCTGCTTCAAAACAGGTTTCTAAGACCTCTTACAAGCATATGCCGCCCTTAAGCACTCCCTAGTATTAGAAATTCTGGCGCTGTCCCCTGAGAGCTGAACTGAAAATTAAACTGAGGCAGGTTATTTTTATTTTCACTATACAGATTATTAAAGGAAAATATTTTTAGAGGTTTGTACAAACACTTGAGCTGTCATGACTTCAACACCAAAGGTTTCTGTTCGGGAATATTTCAGTTATAGACTGTATCGTGAGGGTCCCACCCAAAAATTATTGTTTAAACTTGATTTTCCTGAGTTAACTGACATGATTGTTAACAGATTTTGTAGTAAAAGAACATACAAAAAGAAGTTCAGACTGGTGATGTTATCCTGGACTGGTGATGTTATCCTGGACTGGTGATGTTATCCTGGACTGGTGATGTTATCCTGGACTGGTGATGTTATCCTGGAATTGTGGTGTTATCCTAGACTGGTGATGTTATCCTGGACTGGTGATGTTATCCTGGACTGGTGGTGTTATCCTGAACTGGTGATGTTATCCTGGACTGGTGGTGTTATCCTGGACTGGTGATGTTATCCTAGACTGGTGATGTTATCCTAGACTGGTGGTGTTATCCTAGACTGGTGATGTTATCATAGACTGGTGATGTTATCCTAGACTGGTGATGTTATCCTGGACTGGTGATGTTATCCTGGACTGGTGATGTTATCCTAGACTGGTGATGTTATCCTAGACTGGTGATGTTATCCTAGACTGGTGATGTTATCCTAGACTGGTAATGTTATCCTAGACTGGTGATGTTATTATAGACTGGTGATGTTATCCTAGACTGGTGATGTTATCCTAGACTGGTGATGTTATCCTAGACTGGTGATGTTATCCTAGACTGGTAATGTTATCCTAGACTGGTGATGTTATCCTAGACTGGAGATGTTATCCTAGACTGGTGATGTTATCCTAGACTGGTGATGTTATCCTAGACTGGTGATGTTATCCTAGACTGGTGATGTTATCCTAGACTGGTGATGTTATCCTAGACTGGTAATGTTATCCTGGACTGGTGATGTTATCCTAGACTGGTGATGTTATCCTAGACTGGTGATGTTATCCTAGACTGGTGATGTTATCCTAGACTGGTGATGTTATCCTAGACTGGTGATGTTATCCTGGACTGGTGATGTTATCCTAGACTGGTGATGTTATCCTAGACTGGTGATGTTATATTAGACTGGTGATGTTATCCTAGACTGGTGATGTTATCCTAGACTGGTGATGTTATCCTGGACTGGTGATGTTATCCTGGACTGGTGATGTTATCCTGGACTAATGTTATCCTGGACTGGTGATGTTATCCTAGACTGGTGATGTTATCCTAGGCTGGTGGTGTTATCCTGGACTGGTGATGTTATCCTAGACTGGTGATGTTATCCTAGACTGGTGGTGTTATCCTGGACTGGTGATGTTATCCTAGACTGGTGATGTTATCCTAGACTGGTGGTGTTATCCTGGACTGGTGATGTTATCCTAGACTGGTGATGTTATCCTAGACTGATGGTGTTATCCTGGACTGGTGATGTTATCCTAGACTGGTGATGTTATCCTAGACTGGTAATGTTATCCTAGACTGGTGGTGTTATCCTAGACTGGTGATGTTATCCTAGACTGGTGGTGTTATCCTGGACTGGTGATGTTATCCTAGACTGGTGATGTTATCCTTGACTGGTAATGTTATCCTAGACTGGTGATGTTATCCTAGACTGGTGGTGTTATCCTGGACTGGTGATGTTATCCTAGACTGGTGATGTTATCCTAGACTGGTGATGTTATACTAGACTGGTGGTGTTATCCTGGACTGGTGATGTTATCCTAGACTGGTAATGTTATCCTAGACTGGTAATGTTATCCTAGACTGGTGATGTTATCCTAGACCGGTGGTGTTATCCTGGACTGGTGATGTTATCCTAGACTGGTGATGTTATCCTGGACTGGTGATGTTATCCTAGACTGGTAATGTTATCCTAGACTGGTAATGTAATCCTAGACTGGTGATGTTATCCTAGACTGGTGGTGTTATCCTGGACTGGTGATGTTATCCTAGACTGGTAATGTTATCCTAGACTGGTGATGTTATCCTAGACTGGTGATGTTATCCTAGACTGGTGATGTTATCCTAGACTGGTGATGTTGTCTTAGACTGGTGATGTTGTCCTAGACTGGTGATGTTATCCTAGACTGGTGATGTTATCCTAGACTGGTGATGTTATCCTAGACTGGAGATGTTATCC